GCAGAAACAGCTGGTGGTGGCCACCATGCCTTCACACACCTGACCAGACTGACGGACTGAGACCGACCTCTCCCACGCGTCTAACAGAAGGTGCCGAAACCAGACTTAGCTCTGGAGCATGGACCCGGTGACCTGCTAATCTGGTTCCTTCTGGGTGGAGGTGTCAGAGCCCTCTGAAGAGCTGGGTAGTGCTCGGTCAAGGCCCTGAGGACCTGGAACAGACCTCACCCTTCCTTGCTCCGAGGGGCTCTGAGAGCCCTGGTGTCTCAGGGTCTGCTGTCTGGGGCCCAGTGTTGCCTTGAGAAGTAATGTGGGGTTTCCACCGGAGAAGGCTATCTGGGCCTGGCTTTAAGCCAATAGAGAGTCATTATTAGCCGCCCAGGGACTACCCTGCGTACTCAGGATCCCAATGTAGCACCCAGCCTTGCTCAGGAGGAGCTTTTAAGCACAAATACCATATACTGGGTTGACATATTTCAGTTAACAGGAACAGTCAGCCAGCGTGACACCACAGAAGACAAAAAGCAAGGTCAGCACCTTTAGAAATTTTCCCAGAACCACAGACTTTGAGAATTAGGTCTTTGCTTTCATTTTTGTCATGCGGTGCTGTCTATGTGCTGAGTTTTTTACAAACTGAATGGCACTTCCATCATGGAGTCAGTTGTGCTAATGTCTGGGGCCTGTTACACTGTTACATTGGCTGGCCTCAAACTCACTGAGATCCACCTAACTACTGCTTCCTGAGTTCTGGACTAAAGCAGTCCACCAACACACACAGATTTCATGCATTTTAAAACAGTTTTGTGCATGTGTGCTTCTGTGTGAGCGTATGTGGAGAGCTGAGGAAGCCAGGAGAGGGATTTAGAAGCCCTGGGGTTATGTGTGGTTGAGGGCCTCCGGGTGTCGTCGCTGGGATTCAAGCTGAGGTCTTCTAGAAGAGCAGTGACTGATGGCCATCGCTCAGCGTCCTATTTTTATAAGAAGCTAAAAGGCCAGGCAAGGCTGAACATACCTGTAATCCAAGCTGGAATTCAGGGTCAACCTGGGTTACGGTGAGAATTTGAGGCTGGTTTGCAAGTTCATAGCCAGACTGTGCGCCATGAGCCTCTGTGGAAAGGAAGGAAGGAAGGAAGGAAGGAAGGAAGGAAGGAAGGAAGGAAGGAAGGAAGGAAGGAAGGAAGAAGCGGGGGGGTAGCACACGTCCTTCTGTCTTCTTGGGGTTTGGCCCTTGATTCCTTGATTCCTTGATTCCTCATACAGATCTGGGTGTGATACCGAGCGGATAGCTAAAACTTCAGTGCAGAAGGGACGGAGGTGGGTGGCGTCACGTGGGCTCGTTGCCAGCCTAGCTCCAAGGTCAGGGAGAGACCCTATCTCAGGGAACACAGTGATGCTTGGTAAAGCAGGACCCTTACACGCTCTTTACTTCTCTCTCTGTATGTGTGTCTCTCTCTGTCCTCTGTCTCCCCCTGTCTCTGTCTCTCTCTTACACATTTTTTTTGAGACAAGGTCTCACTGTGTAGTCCTGATCGGCATGGAACTCGCTATGTAGACCAGGGTGGCCTCAGACTCAGAGATCCACCTGCCTCTACCTCCCCTGCTCTGAGATTAAAGGTACACGTCACTAAGTCATACAGCCAACATTTTTTTAAAATAGTATTTTTTTTAACTTTATGAACCTGGTGTTTTGCCTGCTTGCATGTGTTTGCATCAAGTGCTAAAGGGCTTGACAGTGTCAGGCCCCCCGATGGAGCTACGGGCGGTTGTGAGCTGCCATGGGGGTGCTAGGAACCAAAGCTAGGTCTCCTGGAAGAGCAGAAAGTTTTGTAACCACTGCGCCGTGTCTCCAGACCCCCGACCTACCAATCTTTAAAAAGCTAAGAGGGCGTTTGTGACCGCTATTCAGCTGGCAGAAACACCAGCCTTCATGGGCCAGCAGTTCGGAAATGGGCGTACCTTTGTGTACAGCGGCTCATTAAGTCTCTAGGGCGGTCAAAGCATGCTTTTCAAGGACACAATCGAGATGACCTTAAACGAACCTCGTACCAAAGGTGTTCAGAGCGCGACCACATCAGCTCACAGAACAGGTCTCCTGGCTGTGTCTGTGCCTGCCTGTGTCATCTGGGGCTACCGGCCTCAACTCTGCTCACCTCCGTTCAGGCTTCATTTCCAAAGCCATGCGGCAACCTCACATGGAACCAACATTGACCCTGCCGAGCCCCTGGAACCCCAGGGGTGCACCACAGAGCCCAGTTTGTTCTGCGCTGCTGGCATGGAACCCAGGGCTTCATACACACTGGGCGGGAACTCTGCCAGCTGAGAGCTAGGCTTAACGCTGTGAATTAAACCCAATTAGTCACAGGCAAACATCAGCTCTATCTGGTAGGTACTGACAGCTGCCAGGAGCAGGAAGTGGCTGGCACAGCTTCCCAACTGGGTAATTCCTCCTGAGGAAAGTTCTCGGTACAGCTGGAGGTGGTGGCGAACACCTTTAACCCCAGCACACAGGGCACAGACACAGACAGCACTCTGAGTTGGAGGCCATTCGGTCTACACGGTGAGTTCTAGGCCAAGTAAGACTGTCTGAACAACAGAGGACAAACCTAACAAATGCCGCTGCTCCCACCCAGCACGCCCGGACACCTGCAGCAGAGGCTGCCACTTGGGGGACTCACGTCTCCCCATCATTTGGCTGGGCTTGTACGCTGCTCTCATCCTCTGAAGTCGCCCGGCGTTCAGCAGTTGTGCTGACCAACTAGCATCAAGGAAGGATTCCCTGGAAAGAACTGCATTGGGGGTGTGGTTGGGCGTGGCCAGTGGCTGCTGCGCTGAGTCAGAAGCCAGGGCCCTGTGGCCCTGTGGCCCTGTCCAGTGGAGGGCACTGCCCCTAGGAGAGGCACGTGGCTAGAGAATAAGCTACAGGTTCATTCCTGAACACGCTTAGGGTACCGATGGCAGAAAAACACGTTAGGTGCTGGGATCTAAGGACGACAGGCTTCCGGGGGTAGCGCAGAGCGCAGCGTGGCCAGCACTGAGGAAGCCCCGGCAAGAACAAAAAGAAATCAGGGGCAGGAGGGGAGGGAGAAAGGCAAACCACCGATATCTGAAGAAACTGAGGCCCACAGAGTTTATTCGAGTGAGCCCAAGGCACACAGTCCTTGGTCCCACCGTTTGGCCTAGGCTGGCTTGGAATTCAGGTTGAAAGACCCCAGCCTCACACTAAGTTAAACATAGCTAACGCCATTTTGTGGGACACCACTGTTTTGTAAAACTCTGAAGGCCAGATGAGAAACTGGAAAATTACTGAGAAATCCTAGCTGTGTCACCCACTTGGGATATCTGTGGTCAGGCTGCCCCAGTCATACTAAAAACAGTTTGTGTTAATCACCCTCATGGATATCTGTGAGACTGTTTCAGTTAAGATAGAGAAAAATAAAATAACAGGTGGCTGGCCACGTCAAGGGGTCATCCTAACCCCCTTGACCACCCAGTTCCTGGAATCTTGGTGCCCCTGCCAAACTTTGACGCAAATCATGGTCTCATGTAAATGTACCAATCAGCCCCCTGTAACCATGCTTCTCGCTTCTGTACCAGTGCTTCTGCTCTAAAACCCTATAAAAACCCCAGCTTCCTATCTAGGGGGCGCGCAAAGTCCTTTCGAGTGACTTTCGCCCCGGGTACCCGTGTATCAAAGCCTCTTGCTGTTTACATCCGAATGGCCTCCTTGTTCCTTGGGAGGGGGTCTCTCAGACAGAAGATACCCTCGGGGATCTTTCAAGGTTCTTCCGGCCTCTTCCTCCTCAGCGCAGGAAGCACAGGTGTCAAGCATCACGCTCGGCTTCAGACGCACAGTTGTAAGGGGCAGGCCTGAGATTTGAACCAGTGACCTGTCGTGTGGAGGCTTTGTGTGATCCTGGCAACGCCACAGGAAGAGAAAGAAATCTGTGGGATTTTGTTTGTTTTGTTAAGGGGTCTCTTGTAGTCCAGGCTAGCCTGGAATTTGCAATGTAGCTAAGGGTGCCCTTGAACTTCTGATCCTCCTGCCTCACCCAGCCCCTGCTGTTGGCCATGGTGCCGGGTTGGACGGAAGGAGGCTGAAAGCTTGAGTGACAAGCTAAGGTGGCTAGGCTCCTCTAGGGCCGGGGGAGCTGAAAAGCGAGTATGTGCCTTGCCAAGACTCCTCCTCCTCCTTTTCTCCCTCCTCCTCCTTTTCTCCCTCCTCCTCGTCCTCCTCCTCCTTCTCCTCTCCCTCTTTCTCCTCCTCCTCTACAGACCTTTCTCAACTTGGAGAGGAGCCCCAGCATCTTGGGCACAGAGCCCACATCCACAGCACAGGGCAGAGCCTCTTTGCTGTAATCAGCTCTGCCTGGGTGACCTGTGTCCACCTGGCTGACAGCTAGCAGACAGAGCCAGGAGAAAAGCCGGGTCCCAGTGAGAGTGGCTGAGGATATCCATAGGCTACATGATGACACAGCAAGATGACACAGACAGACAGGACCAGAGGCAGGAGACAAAATCAGATGCAGAAGCTGGGTGTTTCCAGGCAGGCCGACCTCTGTGAGTTCAAGGCCAGCCTGACCTACATAGTGAAACCTTGTCTAAAAAAAAAGCAACAAACCCCACATTCCCTCTTTAAAAATCCCAAACAAGCATAAACAAAGACACAGATGCAGAGAGCGTTGACACAAAACAAACAAAAAAATCCAAAAACACCTTTTCTTCCATACAAGGCTCTGGGTTCCTTCCCCAGCATAGCAGGTTACATAAGACTCTGTCTAAAAACAGCCTGTCAGGCAGTGGTGGTGCTCACCTTTAATCCCAGCACTGGGGAGGCAAAGGCAGGTGGATCTCTATGAGTTCAAGGCCAGCCTGATCTACAGAGTGAGTCCAGGACAGCCAGGGCTACACAGAGAAACCCTGTCTCAAAAAAACTAAACAAAACACCAAAAATCCTAACAAAATAAGAAATTCAACACCTGGGAATCTATCTCCTGGTGTCCTGAGGCAGAACTGGGCATCTGAGGCCAGCCTGGGAAACTCAGTGAGACCATGCCCCAAAATAAGAAGCGAACAGTGGGCTAAAGACTCAGCAATGCAGAGAGATTCAACCCTCAGCACCATCCCCCCAAAAACACAGCGACAGTGAGGCTGGGGTGGGGCTGCGGTGTGCCAACAGGTGCCAACAGGGAACAAGCAGGCAGAAGCACACGCCCACACTGACCTCCTTCCTGGCACCGCCATAGCCACAGCCGGTCCTTCTAGGCCTGCCTACCTCCCTGTGGAGCTGCTGCTGGGTCATTAAGCTGCTAAACTGGCCACAACTGAAGGCCCCACGCCCCAGGGAGGAAAACCACTGAAGAAGGCGTCCCTGCTCCCAGCACCCCAAACCATCAATTAACATTAACAAGAGAGCATGCTCCTGGCTGCCTAAAGACCCCCAGCGGGGCACAAATGGAGCAGAGGCCCCTCCTCCCCCGTGACTCAGGAGGTTAAAGGGCTTGGGTCTCTCTGGGAGTCCAGAGTGTGCGGATGGAGGGCGGCAGTGGCAGGAAGGTTACCATCCAGCTGGTGGACGGCGAGGCCGGGGCTGGAGCTGGGGGCCCACAGCTCTTTAAAGGCCAGAGCTACGAAGCCATCCGAGCGGCTTGCCTGGATTCCGGGATCCTGTTTCGTGACCCTTGTTTTCCTGCTGGTCCTGCTGCCCTCGGCTATGACAAGCTGGGACCCGATTCAGAGAAGGCCAAAGGGGTGGAATGGAAGCGACCTCATGTAAAGCAGGGCTGGGCTGGAACCTGGGTCTGAGGGAGGAGAGGTGCGGCCTAAATTCCCGATCCTCGAGTGTGAGGGAGGAGACGCCAAGGCCTGGACTCCTGGATCTGAGGGAGGAGGGCCAAGGCCTGGGACTGAGAGAGGAAGGCTAAGGCCTTGGTCTGAGGGAGGAAGGCCAGGGCCTGGACTCCTGGGTCTGAGGGAGGAAGGCCAGGGCCAAGGCCTCAGACTGAGAGAGGAAGGCCAAGGCCTGGACTCGTGGGTCTGAGAGACAAGGGCCAGAGTCTGAGGGATCAGGGTCAGAATATGGACCTTTGGGTGTGCGAGCGGCAGGCTCAAGTCTGAAACCCTAGCTCTGAGGAAATGGGAATGGGGGGATCGGAGCAGGCTCACCTGTGGGGTTCAGGGGATCCAGGAGGGTGAAGCTCCCACCCATAAGCCTTCCCAGGGTTGGAGGCCCTCATTACCCGGGACGCTGGGCTCAGGGACCTGGGCCTCTGACTCCCCACTGCTCCAAGCGTTTCCTTCTTAGCTTCACTGGAACCCTGGTTTTCCAGGAGTTTTGTGCTGAGCCGCAGTTCATCTGTGAAGACATGAGCAGAACAGACGTGTGCCAGGGAAGCTTGGGTGAGCCCCCCCCCCATCCGGGGCCATCTTGAACCCCCAGACCTGGATGACTCGGATGACCCCATCTCCTGGCCCATCACTCCTGTCTTCTTCAGTTTGCCGGTCCCTGGTCCCCCTCGCCTAACCCGAGTCTCTGTCTTCGCAGGAAACTGCTGGCTTCTCGCCGCCGCCGCCTCCCTTACACTGTACCCCAGACTCTTGTACCGAGTGGTCCCCCCTGGACAAGGTTTCCAAGATGGCTACGCGGGCGTCTTCCATTTCCAGGTAGAGCCCAGTTCCTCTCTCCGAGCCGCAGTTTCCCCCGGAGCGGGGCAGGGGAGGGACGCCACAGCTTGCGAAGCGGTGAGCAGAATGGGGGGTTGGACACAGGACTCGGGCAGGGGCCGGAAGCTGAGCCCACTCCTGCCCTGTCTGTCGCTAGCTCTGGCAGTTTGGCCGCTGGGTGGATGTGGTGGTGGATGACAAACTCCCTGTGCGTGACGGGAAGCTGATGTTCGTGCGCTCCGAACAAAGGAACGAATTCTGGGCTCCTCTACTGGAAAAGGCCTATGCCAAGTAAGGACGGATCCCCTCCCAGCTGCGGACCCCGGACACGCCCCTTCATTTTTTGTTTTATTTCATATTTTATTGAGAAAGGATCCGATACAGCTCAGCTTGCCCTGGACCTGGCTACGTAGCCCAGGGGGGCCTTGAACTAATGCTCTTGCCTCTACCTCAGGAATGCTGGGGTTACAGGTGTGTGCCACCATACCAGGTTTAATGAGGTGCTGGGGATCGAACCCAGGGTTTCACGCATGCTAGGTAAAGCCTCCACCAACTGAACTACATCCCCAGCCCTTACTTATTTACTTACTGTCTCTTATATAGCCCAGACTGGCCTCGAACTCATAATCTTCCTTTGTTGGAGTCTTGTGTACATGGATTTTAGGCATGCACCACAACTCCTGACTAAATTTAGGGAGTCTGTGTCCTGGAGACGGAACCCATGATCCACACTCCACTAGGGGATTCTAGGCAGGGGCTTTACCATTGAGGCATAATACTCTCAGCCTGTGAATTGTCAAATTCCCCCCCACCCATACAGGGTTTCTCTGTGTAGACCTGGTATCCTGGAACTTGCTCTGTAGACCAGGCTAGCCTCGAACTCATAGACAGATCTGCCTGCCTCCGCCTTCAAGGTGCTGGGATTAAAGATGTGCATCACCACCCAGCAGAATCTTCAAATCTTGAAGGCCTCCCTCTTTTGACATTTTCCACAAACGTTCCCAGAACCCCGCTGATGGCCATATTTCCCCAGGATCCCGAAATCCCGCCCACCTATCAGGCCCTGGATTTGCCCAATCTTATTCCCTGAAGGACCTTTAACCTCATGCGTCTCTCCTGGTCCACTGAGTCATCTCAGGCTTTGGGAGGCCTGACAAGTCCCCACAGGCGTTGCCTTCACGGCCTCCCAGAGCCTGGAGGGTTCGGGAAGGGTTGAGAATCGGGTACAGCTCCTTCCAGGCCACACGGCTTCACCGACCCCAGAGGTCACGGGCCTGGCATGCGTCCCAGCCCCCACCCCATCTGAACAGCTCAGGGACAGAGCCGGGTGCGGTAGCCTGCACCTATAACCCCAGAAACACTGAATACACCACGGCAGGAGGATGGCAAGTGTGAGGACAGATTGGGACGCATAGTGATACCACGTCTACCAAACCAAACCGAACCCCAGTCAGCTGAGCCTGCGGAGAGCAGCTCTTATTTCCGTCACTCTGACAGCAGAGGCAGGTGCATTTCTGTGACTCTGAGGCAAACAAGTCTACAGAGCGACTTCCTGGCCAGCCAAGGCTGCAGAATGAGACCCTGTCTCAGAAACAAGGTGTGGGCGTGGGGAGCCGGGGAGGTCTGGAGAGATGGCTCAGTGCTGAGGGCACTAGCTTGCTCATTTGGAAGACCCGCGTTTGAGTCCCAGTCAGGACGGTGTCTAACTTTAGCACCAGGGACCTGCCGCCTCCGTGGACACCCGTGGAAAGAAATAATCTCACACACACACACAACTGGGGATAGGTCCTGGGGACCCCTCCCCTGACAGAGCCCCCAGACCCACCTCCGCCTGTTCCACAGGCTCCACGGCTCCTACGAGGTGATGCGTGGAGGCCACATGAACGAGGCTTTCGTGGACTTCACGGGAGGTGTAGGTGAGGTCCTCTACCTGAGAAGAAACACCCCCGGCCTCTTTGCCGCCCTTCGCCATGCGCTGGCCAAGGAGTCCCTTGTGGGTGCCACTGCCCTGGTAAGAGCCAAGCGCCCACGTGGACCCCTGCTAGACCGGCACAGTCAGGGATGGGGGGGTGGCGCCCAGTGTTCTCACCCTCCGCTGTTGTCCCCCCGATCCCCCATGGCAGATCCTGGGCCTGTGTGCTCCCCACATGAGCCACACCCCGCCAGCCCCTTGTTTTGTTTTGAGGCGGGGTCTAAGTTACCCGCGCTGGCCTTGAACTTCCTGGCCCGGCTCTCTGTGTAGCTGGGACCCCCAGTCCTGAGACACAGCGTCCCGGCTTCTCCCCTCTCAATTCTGTCACTCACTCTTCAGCGTGGACACCGTCTCTGAGCCCCCTGGCATTTCATGCTGCTTGGATAGCTCCTGGGTTGGAAGCCTGAGGCTGGGGTGGGGAGGAAGGCTAGGCAGAGCTGCTTCCATCTCAGCCTCACAGTCTCGTCCTCTTTCAGAGCGATCAGGGTGAGATCCGCACGGACGAAGGGCTGGTGAAGGGACATGCTTACTCCGTCACGGGCACGCACAAGGTGAGGCCCTCCCAGTGCTGGACGAGGCTAACACCCCTCTTGATGCCACACACCATCCTCTGTGATGCCCACACACCTCCCTCACAGATGCCATTGTCTTTAGATGTCCCTGGGCTTCACCAAGGTGCGGCTGCTGCGGCTGAGGAACCCGTGGGGCCGTGTGGAGTGGTCGGGGCCCTGGAGTGACAGGTGGGATGGGCTTGGGGTGGGTGGGGGTTTGGCCCCCACATCCCTACAGCTCACGTTGCTCTCTTCAGCTGCCCACGCTGGGACATGCTCCCCGCCGAGTGGCGAGACGCCTTGCTTGTCAAAAAGGAGGATGGCGAGTTCTGGTGAGTTCTTCTGTGGGAGGGCGTGCGACAGGGCCAGATGCAGAGAAACGGTCCCTGTCAGCTGTGATTTAGGAGTCTGAATCTATTCTGCAAAGTCAGGGCAGAAGCAGCAGGAACCACTAAGGGCGTGGTTTTCAGAGCGAGGACATCGAGGTTAGGTCAGCCTAAAACTCACCACGTAGACCAGGCTAGCCTCACACTCGTGGCAATCTTTCTGCCTCAGCCTCCCCAGCACTGGACTTGCAGGCATAAGGGAATCTAAAGGAATTCAGAGACAGGGATTTGGGGAACAGAATCATATTTATGATCTGGGGAGGCTTGGTGACGTTCGAGGCTTTACGTACATATAACTTCAAGCTGTTTCCCTAGTTTTGTATTTCTCTATGTGTCTGTGAGCGGGGCATCCCTCGCTGGTGAGGGCGTCAGTGCTGGGAGAGTCTGTTCTCTCCTTCCACAGTGGGATACTGGGATCGAACTCAGGTTGTCAGGCTTGTACATCAGTAGCTTTTATTGGCTTGGCCATCTTCCCAGCCCTCCACGAGGATTTTCTAAAGTTAATTTGAGACATTGAGAGAAGTTTGTGAATCTTCCCAGCCATGGGCTATCTGTGAGGGCTTGGAGACCTTGGCAAGGCCTGGAGGATTTGGGGTTTCTGGAAATCGGAGGTTATTGGGTGGTATTTAGGAACCCGGGGCTTTGTAGTGGGGGCCACCTCTGGGGTCCCTCAGGCTGGGCTCTGGGGTGGCGGGCACCTCTCACGTTTGTGCTGTCCAGGATGGAGCTTCAGGACTTCCTCACGCACTTCAACACAGTCCAGATCTGCTCACTGAGCCCGGAGGTGTTGGGTCCCAGCCCTGCTGGCGGCGGCTGGTACATCCACACGTTCCAGGGCCGCTGGGTGCGAGGCTTCAACTCCGGAGGGAGCCAGCCCAGCGCTGGTGAGGCCCCGGGGACCCCTGCAAGCAAGCTGGGGCGGGCCCGTGGTGGCTGGGAGCTCCCTCTCTTCCTTCCTTTCCCCCAGAAAACTTCTGGACCAACCCCCAGTTCCGGCTGACGCTGCTGGAGCCTGATGAGGAAGAGGATGAAGATGACGAAGAGGGGCCCTGGGGAGGCTGGGGAGCAGCAGGGGCGCGGGGCCCAGCGCGGGGAGGCCGGGTCCCCAAGTGCACCGTCCTCCTGTCGCTCATCCAGCGCAACCGCAGGTGTCTGAGGGCCAAGGGCCTCACTTACCTCACGGTGGGCTTCCACGTGTTCCAGGTGAGGGCAGGAGGGGCAGCGGGTCACGAGGGCACTGTTACGGGCAGCAGGGCACCGAGGGTTCAGACGGGAGCGCCACTGCAGAGAGAACTGGAGAGAGGGGTTCAGGTACAGGGACAGAAGAGGGCTGGGGGTCAGAGGGCAGGAGGGGACCAGAGGGGATGAGGGCACTGGTGGGAAGGAAGGGGTTGGGGAAGGGGTCAGAGGTTAGAGTGGGGAAGTATTACAAGTTCAGAAAGAAGGGGCACGAGGGCGTGGAGGGCCTGCACGTTCCCTCATCCTCGCTGCCCTGGCTTTTCCTTTCCGCAGATTCCTGAGGAGGTGGGTTTCAGATGCGGCCCTAGACCCACCCTGGGGCTCGGCTGAGCTGCTGAGGAAGGCCCGGGACACGGGAGGGCCTGGCCGGGCAGCCCGGGTGTGTGTGTGTGTGTGTGTGTGTGTATGGTGTGTGTGTGGTGTATGGTGTCTGTGTGTGCTGTGTGTGTCTGTGTGTGTGGTGGGGCCAGAGCGTGGGGCGGGGGCGTGTGTGGTGGTCACGGCGCCCCGCCCGCAGCTGCTGGGCCTCTGGGACTCCCCGCGCAGCCGCGCGCTCTTGCCGGGACTGCTGCGCGCCGACCGCTCGGTTTTCTGCGCCCGCCGCGACGTGAGCCGCCGCTGCCGCCTGCCGCCCGGCCACTACCTGGTGGTACCCAGCGCCTCCCGCGTGGGCGACGAGGCCGACTTCACGCTGCGCATCTTCTCGGAGCGCAGCCACACCGCAGTGTGAGCCGGGACCCGCCCCCCAGGCCAGGGCCCCCCCACCCGGCCGCGGGCCTCAGTCCCGTCATAGGCCCCGCCCCGGCGCAAAGCCCCGCCCCTGCACCCGGCCACGCCCACTCGAGATCCCCCCCCCAACCCACCGCCCTGTGACTCCACCCACTCTTCTCTGCTGACCCCCCGCCCGCCCTGAATTTGCAGGGAGATAGATGACGTGATCAGCGCCGACCTGGACGCCCTCCAGGTGCGCGCCGCCGCGGGCGGGGACGGGACGGGGCGGGCGGACAGGGCTTTGGGAAGGAGCTGAACCCCTCCACCCCACAGATCCCCTACAAGCCCCTGCAGCTGGAGCTCGCACAGCTGTTTATGGAGCTGGCTGGAGAGGTGAGGAGGGTCGGGGACTGGGGGGCACCGGGCCAAATGGTGCTCTCTCCCTAGGTGTCTTAACAAACAAAAAGCCAACCCAAACAAACAAACAAACAAACAAACACACACACACCGTGGACCAGAGTGTCCAGGAACAGCCATGTACCCTCCAGCTGCCTTCTGGCTGCCCCGCCCGAGCCCCCGGGCTGGGGAGAGGTGTCTCTGCTCCCATTCCTTTGCTCCCCCTGCCCCTGCCTTCTCTGAGGTTCACATCCCCTGCCAGACGCAAGCGTCTTCCCCAAGTGCTTCCTCCCTCACTTGCCACACCGTGGCCTCCCACAGTGCGGCTCCCACCGCCGCCCTGACCTCCAGGGACGGACCTGCCTCCTCCAGCCAAACCAGAGAAGGCCGCCACTGACATCTCCTCAGCACTGCTGACTGGATGTCTCAGCCTGCCGCCTCACGGCCTCACGGCCTCACGGTGGTTCTGTTCTCTCCTGATTAGGAGGAGGAACTCGATGCTCTTCAGCTGCAGACCTTAATAAGCATTGCTCTGGAGCCTGGTGAGTGCGGGTGGGGGCGGGGGTCCCTGTAACTGGAGCACCACCCCGCTAGGGACTCTGTGTGATGGAGACAGGGGCTCCCTACGTGCTGACGAGGACCATGGCCACTCACAGGCCCCCAGCTGTTGGTTTTGTCAGGCAGGAACTCTGCACATTTCTATAGAACGTTGTCTGCAGGGAGTTACTCTGCAAATTTCTGCCATGTTGGCCTACAAGTCTGGGGCTCTGGACTTCTCTTTTGTAGCTAGGGCCAACACCAGGAACCCTGGAGAAATTGGGCTCAGGACCTGCGAGCAGCTTGTGCGGTGTTTTGGGGTACGTGAGGCAGTGTGGGGGAGGAGGGGCCGGGCTGCTGGGGGGCTCCCCTTGTCTTCTAGGGCACGTTGACTGTAACCAGATATCCCCGCAGCGTGGGCGAAGCCTGACCTTACACCACTTCCAGGAACTGTGGGGCCATCTCCTGCTGTGGCAGGTAGGTGGGTGTTGGCATCTGGGAACAGGTCCTGGCATGGCAAGTAGGTGAGGGTTAGCAGCAGCTGCCTCCTTCTATTCACTGACATCCTGTGTGGCACCAAGGGGGCACTGCCAACTTGGGAGTGAAATGGGCCCCAGCTATTGAGCCCTCCCTAAGCCTTTGTGGGTAGGTGGATTCGAACTTGTTCCCAAGACCCTGGGAGCTTGACTGTTTGTCACAGATAAACAGGCGCAAAGCCAGGGGAGCTCGGGGCCTGAGTTGTGTGACCTCTCCTGGCTACTTCAAGGCCGTGGAACCCTGGAAATGTGACACTGACTCCCGCCTGCCTCTCCACCCTTCAGGCCACATTTGACAAGTTCGACGAAGACACCTCTGGGACCATGAACTCGTGCGAGCTGAGGCTGGCACTGAACGCAGCAGGTGTGGCTGGGGCCCCGGCACCCACCCCCGCCCATGGCCATCCCTCACTGGGGCTGCCCACAAGGTGCAGCACGAGCTTTCCTCTGTGGTGGCTCTGAGCATAAACCCCTCTTGCCTGCTCCTGTCTGTGACATGGCTAAAGGGTAGGGTGGCAAAGAGCCTGTGGAGCCACCGGACAGCCCCTGGTGCAAGAGCACATTCATTTTCCAAAGCCATGTAACACACCCCCCCCAAGACACCCCAAAGCCCCCTGAACCACTGAGGCTAGTGCATTCTAGAAGAGGAAGGAAATCCCACCCAAGGCCCTACGCCTCGGGGTATGTGTGCGAGGGCCTCTTGGTGGGATTACTGAAAGATTCTAGAAGATGAGTTGGGTCCATGTGCCCAGCTGGGCTCACCTGTGACCACTGCGTAGAGGGAGCCAGGGGGTTACGGGCTGAACAGTTGACCAGTGGGAGAATGAGAGACTAAAAGTGTGAGATCCGGAAAGCGGCAAGAGACCGGGAACAAGTAAGAGGCCATCCCAAGGCCTCAAAGTAGAAGGCTGGAGACTGGGGTGCTGAACCCAAAGCAGAGGGGAGGTTGGGAGCTCACCCCCCATCCATCCACCTGCCCACGTACTCATTCCATGCCCCAGAGTGCTTGGCACATGCCAGAGGTTGTTCTGGACAGAAGGAACCTGAGAATGTCTCCTTGGGAGTTCTCGGCAATTTTAACAGGTTCGCCGAGGGCTCTTGGTCCTTTTACCTCATCTGGACAGGTTTCCCTTCAGCCCCGGGGCCAGCATATCCCACTGTTCAAGGGTAGGGGAACGTCAGAGGGACAGTCACCTGCCTGGGCCACCTAGCTCTGGCATGGTGGTGGTGTGTGGGCTGGTACTTGGAGCTTGTCGACCGCGTCCACAAAGGTGCAGTGCCAACGGAGCCGTGTGGAAGCTGGGAGGGGCAAGCCCTCAGGCCTCGGGGGCTCTAGGAACCCCATTGCGATTCTACAGCAGTTGTCTAGACCTTAGGTGTCAGAAGAGGGGCCACTCAGCAGTGTTTTCTGGTGCCGGGCCGGGAGATGGTCCTTCAACCTCTGCAGGAGCAACCGCAAAGTGGGCACCTTGAGAGGCAGAAGCAAGACTGCAGCCCGAGCAGCTCAGTGCTGCAAAATTGCGCAAGGGCTGGGGATGATCCTGCCTAGGGTGGGAGAGCCTGCCTGGAATGCCCAGTGAGGGGCTGGGGGGTGAGGTACAGGAGAGAGCGCTTGCTCAGCATATGTAAGGGCCTGGGTTCCATCCCTACCACTCCAGCATGCTTGGAGGCGCTATACCACATAAGCCACAGGCTAAAATCCCAACAGCTGGAAGGTGGAGGCTGCTGACCACCCTTGGCTACGTGAACCAGCTTCCCCCAAACACAGTACAAGGGCCCCAGCACCGTGTGAAGGCCAGGCGGACACTGTGGCCCACCTGTATCCCGGCACTAGGCAGCAGACAGGTGGCCTCCGGAGGAAGCTGGCCGGCTAAGACAGACTGGCTTGAGCTTTGGATTTTGGCGAGACCCTGCCTCAACAGCAGGGTGGAGGGTGACTGAGGAAGCCGCTTCCACACGCACAGTGCCCAAACATGTGGACACACTACACACACCCTCCCCCAATCAAAACCAAAATAAAACCCTCGCGGCCTCCTCCTAGGCTTCCACCTCAACAATCAGCTGACCCAGTCCCTCACCAGCCGCTACCGGGACAGCTGGCTCCGCGTGGACTTTGAGCACTTCGTGTCCTGTGCAGCCCAGCTCACCTGCATTTTCCGTGAGTGCTACTTGTGGCGGGGTGTACCTCGGGGCTGGCGCTGCCTACTCACTCTGCCCTCCCACGCACAGGCCACTGCAGCCAACACCTGGAAGGTGGCGAGGGGGTCGTCTGCCTGACCCACAAACAGGTGAGCCGGCCCGAGGGGTGGCGCAGGTCGAGCACCGTCCGGAGGACTCTGTCTCAGGCTATCTTCCTTCTCTTTAGTGGTCGGAGGTGGCTACCTTCTCATAGGTCAGGAGCCGAGGGAGGGAGGCCGCCCTGCTCCAGGCCTGGTCACCCTGCCTGGCACCAGCGGTGGAAGCTGAAGGAGGACGAGCAAGCGCCCGCCTGGGCCCAATTCCCACTGCCCAGGTGGCGGCAATGGTGCCTCTCTTCTGGCTGTGTAGCCTCTCCAGTGCTGGGATCACAGCCACCACCACCGGAACTGCCCCCTCCTTCCTCTTGAAGCCTGTGCACACGTCAGCCCCCCCAGAGAGGACCACACACACAGGCACAGGGCTGGCAGGCCCTGCAGCTCTCTGGGCGTGAACAGGACCGAAGGGAGAAGATAACGCTAGATTCCTTCTTAAAAATATTACATGTTTTATTCTCCCATCCCCAGAGGGTGGTTTATCCAGAAACCAAGAAAATAAAAATCAATCAGAATAAACTCGGGGGGGGGGGGGGGAAGGAAGAGAAACCCATCAACTACCAGGCAGGCAGGCCAGCAGCCCACCTCCACTTCAGGAGTCCCCAGAGACCCCTGCCCGCCGAAGCAAGGACAGGCTCGGGGAGGGGCCGGGGAGGGCATCGAATCAGCTATGTCTTCATTACGAGAGTGAGAGGTGGCAGAGATACGCAGCTAGATGGATATATATTTATATAATAAATCCGTAAGTTAATAAAGTAAATAGTAATTCTCTGGAAGGTTTTAATTTTTTTTTATAGTTTTTGTATAGGTTTTTAAATTTTTTTAAAGTTTTTTTTTTTTTTTGTTGTTGTTGTTTCTGTTCCATTCTTTGTTTTTGTTGGTTTTGGTCCTTAGAAAAATCTGAGACCCAGAGCCCAGGTGAAGCGAGGCCACCAGGGCTGGGGCCGAGTGCCCGGCCACTCTTGAGGCAGAGAGGTGATGGCAGGTCCTCTGCTCCTGGTGCCCACACAAGGGGCAAGGGAGGGGGAGGAGCCACTGGAGTCTGGTCCAGGGGAGCTGGGCGCCCTCTGCTGGACTTCGCAGGGCAGGTGGTTCCTGGACAAGGCACATGGGGCTTTGGCCTGGATGTGAGAGGCCCTTGAGGGGCCTCAGGGGCAAAGGAGGGACAGACCTGGGATTGGAAAGGAATCTCTGGAGCACAGACAGGGCTCAGGGGTCCACTGTCCTCTCCATATAGGCTAAACCCACAAGGCATCATATATATTTAGCAGACCAGAAGCACTCATCTCTAGGCCTCCCTCCCCTACAAGCCTGAGAGAGGCCTGCCTAGGCCCCCTGCCTAACCCCCTAGAAGGACCACAAAGAGCTCTTTGCATAGATACAGAGGCGGGGCGGGGCAGGGCTCCTCCGGTCAGGGTGGCTGAGGGCCTCACAGGTCGCTCTCCCCGTAGAGGGCTGTGGAGAAGGACTTGTAGTCGAGGGCACCAGGAGCGGCATCGGGGCCCTGGTAGGGCGCCATGCGGGCGATGCAGTACTCGGCCTGGTCAGGGGGCAGCTCTCTCCGCAGCTCCTCAGCAGTGATGAAATTCTAGGGCACAGGACCGGACGCTGAGCCACCCTGCCATGGGCCCCTGACCTCGTCCCCAGTGCCAGCTGAGGTTTGACCACTGGCCCCAGTGCTTCTGTAGGTCCTGCTCACCTTGTCCCCTGCCAGGACCTTGAAGGATGCGATGACCTGATCAGCTGTGTCTGTGTCTGTGGTCTCCCTGGACATGAAGTCAATGAAGGCTTGGAAGGTGACGAGACCACTGTGGTTGGGGTCGACCACGCTCATGATGCGGTTGAACTCAACATCGCCCTGTAGGGAGGGGCAGGGTGGGACACAGCACTTAGTGCGGCGTTGGGAGAACTCAAGGCAGGAAGGCTGTGTCAGCAGCCTGTCAGGCACAGCCTGGCCAGACAGAGCCAGGCCTTGGGAGTTCGCCCCTCAGCCTCCTCCCCTTGAATCTGGGGAAGCAGGGAGTTGGGTCCTCTGTGCCAGCTCTGGAAGGGTGGGGAAGAGAGCAAGAAACAGAGAGGGGGAAAGAGTTGGAAGACTGTTCCCTGGATACTTGTAGGAAGGAGGGGATTGGGTGTTGACTGGAAGGACCCCAGCCCCTCGAGTGCAGCAGAGCAGAGGAGGCGGCGGCAAGCAAGGCCGCGCTGCACTCGAGGGTGGAGGAGTGTCCCCAGGAAGATATGGAAGCTCAGGAGGCAGGGAGGGGGCTGGGGGAAGAGGAGGAGCAGAGGCAGGGGAGGCAGAGGCTGCATACCAGGCTGTATCCTGTGGAGATAAGCAGAGCCCTGAAGTCATCTGAGTCCATGCTGCCTGTCTGCTTCTGCTCCCAGGACGCAGGCATAGCAGAGGCCGGGCCCAGAGTAGGCCCAATGTGCACAGCGGACAGACAGGACAGTGAAGGAAGCAGGGAGACAGGAGGCCCGGAAAGACCAGGTAAGGGGGAAAGTGTCCAGAGACATGAGGACGGAGGCAAGAGAGCCGGGGGGACGGCACAAGATGGCGGGGTGGGGGTGGGATGGTGAGAGGGAGGAGAGAAAGAGAAGAGCAGTTAATGCCACAGTCTGCCGGGCCCCGAGGTGCGTACCTGCCGATCATTCTCCACGTCGTAGCCCAGGCTGATGAGGCAGGCCTTGAATTCCTCAGGCCCCAGGGCCCCGCCATGGTCCTGCGTGGGCCCATCGAAGGCAGGCGTACAGGGGTGGTGCACAGATGGGACCACAGAAGTGGGAGAGGGGCCAGGCCACATGCAGTGGGCAGGGGAGGAGGACACATGGGGAAACACAGTTAGAGGTGATGCAGACAAGGTGGTGGCCAGGGGTCGGTGGGGCAGTTAGGTCTCCATGGCCTCACTGGGGCTAGAGTGGGGCAAGCACGGAGGACCAAGGCCAGGGATCGAAGATACAGGGGCCCTTTCCCTGCCTCAGTGTTTACAGGAGAGCAAAAGAGGCTGCACACTGGTACCCACAGAAGCTGAGCAGCTGCGGTACTGGGTCAAAGGTCATTTGGAGACAGTCCCACTCAGCACCCAGAATCTCTTTAAGGGAGCTACCAGTCTAGATCCAAATTTTAAAAAACTACATATGGGGGGCTCAGAGTCCTGGAACCTCCCCACCTGGCCTTGTGTGTACTTCGGGGCCCTGACCATCCTGTGGACAGAGGCTGATGGAATGGATGGCTGCAGAGATGGAGCGGGTAGGATAGGACATAACACTGGGGAGAGGAAAGGCCACACTATTCCAGTATGGCGGGAGGGGCTTACCTTATCAAAGTGGTTGAAAGATGCCCGGAACTCCTGCATCTGCTCCTGGCTGATGCCCTTGGCGTCTCGGGTGAGGATCTGGTTCTCCACCTCGTTGATGGTGCGGGCAATGGTGGTGAGCAGTTGCTCCCAGCCCACACGGATATGCTGAGGAAGAATGCTGGTCAAGCTCAGCAACTGACCCTCTGAGGGCGGGAACCCCACGGTGGTCTGTGGCACCGTGGGCCGGCACAGTGCGATGTGCCATCGACCCTCCGGCTCTAGCGCAGCAACCCTCTTTACTCTGGTGGGCTGCCCCACCAGGTGGCCAGGGCTTGCTGCTCCAGTGAGGCTCAAAGTGCCGAGGCAGGGGGTGGGGGCGGGGGGCAGGACCCTTTCTGTGGCAGCTCATTCTAGAAGGGAACATTTGTCAAGTGTCTTTCTTAAACTTTGGTGTTCTGAGACAGGCTCTCCCTCCGTATGTAGCCCAGGCTGGCCTAGAATTCCTCCCGGTGCCCCTGCCTCCACCCGACTGGGCCCGGCGCCCCGCCCCCGCCCGCCGCACCTCCATGGTGTAGTTGGTGTGCTTGTTGTCGAAGATGAGGGCCTCCTGGATGAGCTGGTGCTGCTGCTCCAGCAGGTCCAGGTTGGGCTTGTAGTCCACGATGCTGCGCTCGTACTGCTTGAGGTGGCTCAGCTGGTCCTCCAGGGTCCCGTTCATCTCGATGGAGATGCGCCCGATCTCCTGCAGGGACGACAGGGACAGCAGCCCTGGCCACTGTGCCCCCTGGAAGGCCTGCTCCCTCGGCTGCTGCCACAGCAGTTTTGGTGACAGCAGGGAGTCTGCTTTACATAGTCCACCCTGCCTTGCCCTTGACGGCTCTGTGAGGAGGCCCTGCTCGGTGACGGTGACTGTAGACTCGGGGGGGGGGGGGGCAGGCTACGAGACTTGGGCAACTGCTATCACTCTTTGAGTGCACACACACCTTCACCCTGTGACAAAACTGTTTTGGTCCTTAAAAATAAGTAAGAAAATAAGAAAAAAAAGGACTTGGCTGTTGGTAGAACGGCCAGGCCCATGGCTCTCCAATGCTTGGCACACTGAGCCAGGAGGGAGGGGGCAGGTAGAATTGCTACTGGCTGCCTGACAAACTACACTGTGCCTGTCAGGAGTGTCCCTAGGACTGTGTTGCTCAGTTACACTGCAGGCCTCACAGGGGTCTAGCAGAGTACAAGTTTGTTGTGGGAATGCCGACTCCCGAGTCGAGAGCATGGGAGCGGAAGGCAATCCAGCTCCGGGCTCAGATCAGACAGTCAAGGCTCAAACCGGCCCTTGGCCAGTCTTTAGCCAGGCTTCCACCTGCTTGACATTACCATTTTCATCTGCAGAGCCCTGTGAGGTCACTGGGGCTGCTGAGCAGTAAGAGCCGAGGTCAGATCTGCCCAGGCTGTGAAATCTGCAGCCACAGGGACCATTTGGCCTAGAGCCCACCTGACTCTCTCAGCCGACAGGCAGCCTGGGCTTGCTGGGGAGGGGCGGCCTCACCTCCATCTTGGTCTGGATCCAGGGCCCCACCACGTTGGCCTGGCTGGCGAATTGTCGGCGGAGGTGCTCATTGGACTGCTGCTTGCTCTGCTCCTCCAGGAGGGCGTGGTCCCGCTTTGGCACCAGCTGCTGCACCTGTGCGATGTGCATCAGAGGTCAGATGGCGGCCTCCCCACCCGGACAGGCCACCGTCGGCATGGCAGAGCACGCTGGCTCACCTTCTCCCACTTGGAGTTGATGATCTGGGGGGTGACGGTGGTGTAGGGGTTGCTGCCCGACAGCTTGATGTGGTTGCTCTCGGCGATCCTCTGCGCCTCCTTGTGGATGGCCAGG